AAGTTTTACTTTTTTAAAAACTTCTCTTCTTCTGCCTACATACCTTCCTTGCAATCTTTCTCCTAGAGATGGACTCCTCCCTACTTCTTCTTGGGCCCAGTGTAAACATTCTCAATCTTGCCTCTTTTCTGTATGTAAGCGCTCGGTCGCATTCCTCATGCGACGGGTAAGTAATGGTACTTACCCGTAACTTTCAATAATTCTTCGGCTCCCTCCTTTATAGATCATTTTATCTTTTCCCAATGACTATATTTCTGCGTCTCCGTCATGTCTCGTTAAAGTTATTCTTATATAATTTCCTTAAATTAATCAGCTTTTGAGGTAATTTTCAAAATTTCATTTTGATACCTTACAGTTCTTTCTCCTTTTACTTATGCGTTACATTCTATTCTCTGTCTGTAAGGTACTTTACCCAAGAAAGGGTCAGTATCTACGTCCGCTCCCCGGTAACTTCTCACGTCATTGATGTCCGAACAATGTCTAGAGTCAATGAGTACATGATCAATCCCGGAACACCCAGCTCAGTCATGATCTTCCAGAGACAGTTTCAGTCAATGGAGTCATAGGCTGATTTGAAGTCGATAAATAATGCGTATACGTCTTGATCTACTTCCCATCGTTTTTCAAGTACTTGTTTCTGGATGAATATCTGATCAAGCGTACTCCTCCCTCTCCTGAATCCTGTTTGATGGTCGCCTATTATGTTTTCATCATACGGATATATCAAATTTTACAGAATGTTAGTCATTATTGTATAGGCGACTGGAAGAAGTGCTATGCCTCTGTAAGTTCCACATTCATACATGGAGGCCTTCTTAAGGATAGGACAGATCAACGCTGTGTTCCATGCTTCTGGTATCCGTTCCTACTTCCATATCTTCTGGATTAGATCTAACAGCTTGGCTCTGAAGTCTTCTCCCCCATCCTTGAACAATTCTGATGGTAGGTTGTCCATCCCTGGAGCCTTTCTTCTTTTAAGCTTGCCGATAGCTATTTCCAAATCCAGAATATCTGGTTTTTCAACCTCAAGTGGGTCGATATCCTCAGTGTGGTCCATTTCTTCTTCGTTTGTGGGGTGCCCTTGGTTATGAAGCTGCTGGAAGTGTTCCTTCCAGATGCTTAGGAACTTTTATTTGATGCCGTCAATTTGCCATCTTTCCCTCGCATTTGTGTATTTCTCGCTTTATATCCTACCCTTTTTTTCTTGATATCTGCGAAGAATTCGCATATATTTCCAGCCTGCTAGTTTTCCTCAATAGTTTGTAATCTTCCTTTGAGGAATTCTCTTTTGGCTGTTCTTAATATTTTGTTTGTCTTTTTCCTGGCTGTATTTGTCCATCATAGCTTGATCAGTCTGTAAGCAGAGGACTTTTCGTCTTTCCTCCACCGCCTTTTCGCATGCTTCTGTGAACCATTTCTTGGCTTTTCTATTTTCCTCAATCCCTATTATTTCCTTAGCTGCTTGTTTCAGCCCTAACTCTAGTGACTCGCAGTGTTGGTCCACCGTGAGACCTTCCGAGTTCAAAGGTTCGAATTTATTTTTCAGCTCAATTTGAAATTCAGCTTGTACTATAGGGTTTTTAAATTACGGACATCGTACCTCTTTCTTTCCACTTGGTTCCCAATTCGGTGGATTCGCTTCAGCCTATGACAGAGTTTGATTCTAATCAGAGTATGATCCGAATCACAGTCTGCTCCTCGATAACTCCTTATGTCTTGAATGGAGCTTTGACGCCTCTTGTCTATCAGCACATGGTCGATTTGGCTTCTTGCTCCTTTAGGACTTACCCAGGTATACTTATGTATGTCCTTGTGCAGGAACATCGTACTGCCTACTACTAGACCTTTAGCTGCTGCCAGACTAATGCATATCACTCCATTGTCATTGCTAGTTTCGTGGAAACTTTGGCCTCCGATGATGGGCTCAAATTAGGTTTCTCGACCTATCTTGGCATTGAAGTCTCCCATGACTAATTTTGTCATGTTTTGGAGCCTGATCCACAACTTTTTCTAACTGATCGTAGAAATCGTCGTTTACCTCATCCTCTTTTTCATCGGTTGTTGCATACACGTTAGTAATCGTGATATTAAACCAACGACATATATATGTGTGTGTGTGTGTGTGTGTGTGTGTGTGTGTGTGTGCTATTTTCAATTGGAACTTTATGTTATAATTTTAAGTTATTTTGAATTTTAGAAATAAGCAAATACTCAAGAAAGCGAAGTGTTGCGGGACTGCAGCTCTAATTTTGCATTGCTATTTGCGGCCGGGAAGACAAATATCCCGGGTTTTTTTTCAAGTTGAATAAAAACGTTAAAATACATTTTTGGAAGCTTACATCTTGCAGGGTGACTCAAAATAGCATTTTAAACAAATGTATGAAAAAAACAACAATTTTTTTGGACGTCATTGTGGATTTCAGATGCAACGAATAGTAGAAACTCCCGAATGAGCACCAGTGTTGGGCATTTACTCCAGTAGTGACGTCACGAGTGATCACTCTTGGAAGCTTAGCCATGAGTAATTTTCAAAATTACTCATGAAATATTTTTCCTTCATGAGTAAATCACTCGTGAAAAATGTTATCTCCATGAGTAAATTACTCATGAAAAATTTTAACGCCATGAGTAATTTTGAAAAAAAAAATGTTTTTATTTTATTTAACCTAATTTTTTTTTCACCATTCCAATTTATTCGATATCGGGGTCGACGTATATGTTTTGGGGGGCGCTTTTTATGGAAATGTTATCCAATTTGAGATTGGGCCCCCCGCGCCTCGACTTTTTTTAACTTTTCGGATCAAAACGATATCGAGGTCAACTCCTATGTTTTGGGAGGCGCTTTTTATGAAAATGATATCGAATTTGGGAATGGGCGCCCCGGGCCTCGACTTTTTTAAACTTTTCAGATTAAATCGATATCAGGGTCGTCTTATAGGTTTTGGGGGGCGCTTTTTATGAAAATGATATCCAATCTGAGATTGGCCCCCCGTGCCTCAACTTTTTTTAACTTTTGGGATTAAATCGATATCAGGGTCGACTTATAGGTTTTGGGAGGTTCTTTTTATGAAAATGATATCCAATTTGAGATTGGGACCCTCGGGCCTCGACTTTTTTAAGCTTTTCAGATTAAATCGATATCAGGATCGTCTCTTAAGTTTTGGGGGGCGCTTGTTATGAAAATGATATCCAATTTAAGATTGGGCCCCCCGGGGCTCGACTTTTTTAAACTTTTCAGATTAAATCGATATCAGGGTCGTCTTATAGGTTTTGGGGGGCGCTTTTTATGAAAATGATATCCAATCTGAGATTGGCCCCCCCGTGCCTCAACTTTTTTTAACTTTTGGGATTAAATCGATATCAGGGTCGAGTTATAGGTTTTGGGAGGCTCTTTTTATGAAAATGATATCCAATTTGAGATTGGGAACCCCGGGCCTCGACTTTTTTAAGCTTTTCAGATTAAATCGATATCAGGATCGTCTCATAAGTTTTGGGGGGCGCTTGTTATGAAAATGATATCCAATTTAAGATTGGGCCCCCCGGGGATCGACTTTTTTAAACTTTTCAGATTAAATCGATATCAGGGTCGTCTTATAGGTTTTGGGGGGCGCTTTTAATGAAAATGATACCCAATTTGACATTGGGCCCCCCGGGACTCGACTTTTTTTAACTTTTGGGATTAAATCGATATCAGGGTCGACTTATTTAAACTTTTCAGATTAAATCGATATCAGGGTCGTCTTATAGGTTTTGGGGGGCGCTTTTTATGAAAATTATGTCCAATCTGAGATTGGCCCCCCCGTGCCTCAACTTTTTTTAACTTTTGCGATTAAATCGATATCAGGGTCGAGTTATAGGTTTTGGGAGGCTCTTTTTATGAAAATGATATCCAATTTGAGATTGGGAACCCCGGGCCTCGACTTTTTTAAACTTTTCAGATTAAATCGAAATCAGAGTCGTCTTATAGGTTTTGGGGGGGGCTTTTTATGAAAATGATACCCAATTTGAGATTGGCCCCCCGGGCCTCGACTTTTTTAAACTTTTCAGATTAAATCGATGTCAGAGTCGTCTTATAGGTTTTGGGGGGCGCTTTTTATGAAAATGATATCCAATTTGATATTGGGCCCCCCGGGACTCGACTTTTTTAAACTTTTCAGATTAAATCGATATCAGGGTCGTCTTATAGGTTTTGGGGGGCTCTTTTTATGAAAATGATATCCAATCTGAGATTGGCCCCTGCGTGCCTCGACTTTTTTTAACTTTTGGGATTAAATCGATATCAGGGTCGACTTATAGGTTTTGGGGGGTGCTTTTTATGAAAATGATATCCAATTTGAGATTGGGCCCCCCGGGCCTCGACTTTTTTAAACTTTTCAGATTAAATCGATGTCAGAGTCGTCTTATAGGTTTTGAGGGGCGCTTTTTATGAAAATGATACCCAATTCGAGATTGGGCCCCCCGGGCCTCGACTTTTTTAAACTTTTCAGATTAAATCGATATCAGGGTCGTCATATAGGTTTTGGGGGGCGCTTGTTATGAAAATGATATCCAATTTAAGATTGGGACCCCCGGGCCTCGACTTTTTTTAACTTTTCAGATTAAATCGATATCAGGGTCGTCTCATAAGTTTTGGGGGGCGCTATTATCGATTTAATCCAAAAAGTTAAAAAAAAACGAGGCTCGGGGGAGCCAATCTCAAATTGGATATCATTTTCATAAAAAGCGCCCCTAAAACCTACAAGTCGACCCTGATATCGAATAAATCGGAAAGGTGAAAAAAAATTAGGTTAAATAAAATAAAAACTTTTTTTTTTCAAAATTACTCATGGCGTCAAAATTTTTCATGATTAATTTACTCATGGAGATAACATTTTTCACGAGTGATTTACTCATGAAGGAAAAATATTTCATGAGTAATTTTCAAAATTACTCATGGCTAAGCTTCCAAGAGTGATCACTCGTGACGTCACTGCTCGGCAGTTACTCGAGTAAATGCCCAACTCTGATGAGCACCCACAGTCAAAGAGTTAGGAACGACAGGATGGATCGACGCCATCTGTCAGCTCAGCGCTGAGTTTAAGAACTCATTCAAAATGTCTTCCTACATAAGTCAATGTAACCTGATCAACTACAACCTACCCCTCTTCGTAATTAATAAATTTCCAAATTCTAGTAGTAGCATTCCAAAAATTCTTAAAACTCATAAAATCTTTCAAAATATAGTTCTTTAAATGAAAACAACATAAGAAGTAATTTGGCAAATAATCTCTTGTAATGCATCTTTTTTATCAATTCATCTAAAATTAATGGATAATTTTAATTAATTACATCGTTTTAAAAACTCGATTTTCCTTGTAAAAAATGCCTAACAAAAAAACTGGACAAAGAAAAAAGGCGGAAAAGCAAAAGATTCGCCAAAAAGATATAAGAACTGCAAGAGATAATTTAGATTTTGGTAAATACCCATGTAATGTGTCTATGGTGAGTAGAATCAATTATGTGTCTTTGAAACAAATATAGCCTCATTTCCATGAGAATTGAGGTATGTGCTTATTAATAGCTTGTATTAATATATTTCATTATCAACCTATATTTAAATATTTCAAGAATTTTCATAAGGAATAATGTGCTTTTTAAACCTTTCATAAAATAAGATAACGGTTTGATATATTTGTAGTGTATAATGTTTTTTATCATCTAATAATTGTAGTGAAATTTCATGTAATAGTCTGTTGGTTTCTATATATTTATAATATTATTATACTTGATTGATTTCATAAGTGTAGTAAATTGGTAATATTTTTTATTCAAGAGTAAGCAATTTTTGTCTCTGAATTTGGTTAATTCTAATGTGTCATATTAAAATTTATTATTTTTTTTTTAGGAATGTGATAAATGCAAAAGGTGAGTTTTAAACTATTTATTTACAATATACATCAAAAGTGTTTCACTGCTATATATTGAATTAATAAAATTTGTTTATGTAAACTGAAACATCTTTTCTATATAAATTAAGATATAAACAAAATTATTGAATGTTTTGTTTCTCTTTTAACAGTAATTACTCTGTTTTTTTCAAACAAAGCAAAGTAAAGTTAAACATTTTTAAATTGTACATATAAATTAACTGCTGTCAAAATACTGGAACATTTGAAAAAAAAAGGATAATTTATAACCTTTGTTTTGGGGCAAAGCTAGTTCATCATAATATACTTTTTGTTTACCACATTCTATCTGAAATTTAAATGTATGCATATATAGACTATTTGGCTGCTGTTGACTATTTTTCAAGATCTTTAAAAGAAAGTTGTATTATTTAGTCTTTTGGTACAAATAGATATGGCTATCTTATAATAGGTAATCCACCTATTATAAATAGTAAACAAACTATTGTTATCAATCCTAAATTATCTGATGTTATTATTTTCATTGAGAACAGTATCATTGTTGAAATACATTACATTATTTTTATGAATTATGTTTTGTCTTTCAGTTTAGGAATATTGTATGTGATATTTAAAAGAATGTGTAGGAAAATTATAATGATTAAGTGTTTTTCAGGTTTGAGATTTACTTTTTTTTTTCAATATCTGAATATGACTCATGACATATAATGTATTTAACAATGGCATAGAATTTATGTATTAATATTATTATTAATAATAATATTAATTTATTATTAAATATTATTATTATTGAGAGAGAGAGAGTGAGAGAGAAAGAGATTAACTGCAGTCAAATATGTTTATACAATTAGTGAGTTAAAAAAAATAAATAAATATAAACTTGAAACATATATCTCATATTTTTTTTACTTGGCATTGTTTTTAGAAAACAGAAGAACAGAGCATTTTGTTATTTCTGCGGAAGTGTTCAAAGACTTCCTGTCTGTGCACACTGTGGGAAAGTTAAGTGTTTGCTCAAAACAGGGGATTGTGTTATTAAGCATCCAGGTGTATTCACAACTGGAATGGCTATGGTTGTAAGTTTTTAATTTCTTAAGAATTATTATTCATGTAGGATTGCCATATTTAATGTTGAACATTATTTTTACTGATTATTTCTTTAATATAACTTTTTTTCTTTGATTTTTTATTTTGTTTTACTAGTTAAAGTAACAAGATATTATATTTATTAATAATACCAAGATAGACCTATTACAAATCTTGAAAAAAAAACAACAGAAATAATAGAGTTAAATAGTAATTACCATCACTTATATATGTCGATAAAAGCATTTTATAGCTAGGCAAGTGGGTCTTGTGATACTTTTTGCCAATCCCTGCCAGCTAAATGTTGTCGCTGTGAACTAACCACTATGGGAATGTCACATTTTATTTCTCGGGCCTCCAATAAATAAACATTAACTGACCCAGGTGGGAATAAAATCCACAACATTACATTCATGTGAAGCTACAATTATACAATTAATATACCATTTTGTAAACCTTAAAAATGTATGCTGAACTTAAAAAAGTTTTGCACCAATGTCTGATTAAGGATTAATTAATTGTAAAAATACATACATTATCAGAAAACAAACAGACACTAATTTCTGCAAATGTTGATGAAGTTTAATTAATAATAAGTAACAATAAAAGTATATTTAAGCCTGAACCCCATAAGTAATAAGAAATAGAAAAGATTTGATGAAAACAATATAAGATGATATTTTTGATAGGAAAATATATTTTTTACCAATAATTAATAAAAAAATATTTAAAACTTTAATAAAACCAATAATAATGATTCATGAAAAACAAACCTGAAGAATTTTAAACTTTAATTAACTGAAGTTGGTCATCTGTATTTATTTATTATTTTTTTTTTTAATATGAACAATATACATTCAAAAGAAAACATCTGAGTTAATTAATTATATTTTTATTTTATTTTGTTATGAAATATTTTCTACTTTGTTATCTTGTTTATCCATGTTAGGCTTGTTTTTCTTTTTTATTAATTTTGATGCTAAACCTTGGAAACTTCAGAAGCTGTTCTTCTAAATACTTTCAGATTTACATTTCTCCTTGACAGTTTTCAAGTTTATAAGCAGTAATCCGCAGTACCCTGGCAAAAACATGATAGTATAGGTAAGTAATAGGTATCTCTGTTGTGGGGTAAGTGCATCAGGTAGGTAAGTACTATGATCATAGTAGAAGAAGCAACTTTGGACTAGCTCATTGAAATAGAAGTTTTTTAAAAAATATATTTATTCAATTTTTTTTCTATATCCCACATTCAATGAAGATTATATAATGTGAATGTCAGATGTTTTAATTTTTTTTTCATTGATTAGATCAGTAAAATAACTCTCTAAAAACAAAATATTTTTCCTTCGCCTCACATTTTTGCTACTGTTTGAATAACGAATCTTCCAGATACCTTGTATGCACTTACTCCTAAGGCAAGAGGAAGTGTGTACTAGGCTTTACTAAGTTGAATCATCAATCTTATAAATATGGAAGTGATTGAACCGTGGAATTGAGCATAATATTTGAAGCATAATCCTATCAGGAACTTTTTAAAATGAAAATAATTTGATCAAAAAGTGAAAACATTAATTATTTAAAGTCAAACTTTGTAAAATCTAGTGCGCGCTTACCCCACCTTATCTTATTCAAATTGTTGTTTTCTGATTATAGAAAGATAATTCTTCAAGTAGATTCTTAAAATTACCCATTCGTACTTTTATTATTTTAATGGCTTTTTGTATCATGTAGGTATTAGACTTGAGTTATGTTGTTACTGCCACATGTCTGATATACTCAATTAGTGAAACTAAGATTAAGTTTCAATTCTTTGCAAATTGCTAATCAATCAGTAAGCAAAATCCGATTCTTAATTGTGGGTAAATGGTTGACTGTCGTGAATAATGAAGAGAAGAATAGTTGGGGTGATCAATCAAATAAGCAGGCAAAAATAAATGATAATATTTATTTTGACATTTGCCGACGTTTCGACCTGAAGTTCAGGCCATCATCAGGGCTAATAAAAGAACCAGATAACAAGGTATGAGAAACATAAGTAGCGTAGGTAAAAAAAAAAAAAAAAAAAAAATTAAAGTAAAATGCAGTTGTTAGAATGACAAACAACTGCATTTTACTTTAATTTTTTTTTACATACACTACTTGTGTTTCTCATACCTTGTTATTTGGTTCTTTTCTTAGCCCTGATGATGGCCTGAACTTCAGGTCGAAACGTCGGCAAATGTCAAAATAAATATTATCATTTATTTTTGACTGATCACCCCAACTATTCTTCTTTTCATTCTTCAAAATCCGATTCTCATTAAAAATTAAGTTATTTCATGTTTGACCATCAGTGAGTGAAGGTGTTTTAAATTTGTAAAAAAATAAATAAGTAACTGTGTAAAAATTGAATTCAGGCATAAAAGAGTAATATAATTAGGTAATTAATTATTTTGCCTATCATATACTACATATGGAGTCTCTCTATTTAAAAACAAATGTATATTTCAGGGGGCTATATGTGATTATTGTGAAGCTTTTGTTTGCCATGGACGCAAATGTCTTTCTTCACACGCATGCACTTGTCCACTTCAGGAAGCAGTTTGTATAGAATGTGACCGTGAGGTATGGGACCATGGAGGACGAGTATTCAAGTGTTCATTTTGTTCAAATTTTTTATGTGAAGATGATCAGTTTGAACACCAAGCCTCATGCCAAGTTCTTGAATCAGAGAACTATAAATGTAAGATATTTATCCTTTTTATTGAACACTTTGCTAGAAATTTTTCCACCCATTTCTGAGGCTTGCTATTTAGCTTTGGTGCTGGGAAGTGGTAGCCCCACCACCTGGTATTGTACCGTGGTCAGCCACTGGCCCTTCAGGTTGGGCTAACAGTACACTGACTTTCATACTATACACTAATACAGCACACATCACAGCAAAGGCCACCAACAGTACACACTCATGGGCCCTCTTTCCTAGATAGCTGCCTCAGATGGGGGAGAAAATCAGAGGGCTCTTAGGAGGCAGACCCTCCATCGGAATTGGGTCTGTGAGGGTATCACCCCCACCCCTTAAATCAAAACTATTGTGTACTCGTAAAGTCAGAAAAGATGGGTGGATTAATAGGAAAAAACATGATGCATGTCTAATGGACTTTGAATTAGCATCCTAGAATATTATATCATTATACCGGCCTGGAGCTTTACAGCAGCTCCTCAACCAGTTATGAACATATAAAATCGACATTGCTGCTATCCAAGAGATGAGATGGAACATACAGGAAATTCGACCTACTACAACTGCGAGGATCAACATCACAGGACTGGATTTGTTGTTAGCTGGAAGATAGCTCACTAAGAAATTGGCTGTAAACCAGTCAGCCCAAGAATATGCCTTCTTCACCTGAAATGAAAATATAGCAATTTTTCGCTGATAAGCGTGCATGCATCTACAGAAATATCGAATGATGAGAGTAAGGATCGCTTCCACGATATCCATGAGCGAGCAACCAATGATACCTAAACATGAGGTGAATATTATAATTGGAGACTTCCACCAATAGGTAGGGAATCATTTTTCTGTCCTAACATTGGAAAAACAGGATCCATAAAGTCACAAATGATAATGGAGAGATTGATCAGTTTTGGGACATTAAAAGACCTTGTGGTAGCTAGCACTATGTTTTGTCACAAAAGAGTGCACCTGTGACATAGTCCTCCAATGATGGAATAACCAAAAATCAGATTGACCATATCCAGATATATAAAAAATATAGTTCTCATATACAGAATGTGTGTGTATACTGATAAGCCAACATTGATTCGCACCAATATTTGTTAGTGGTCCATATTCATGCTAGAATATTACTGACTTACAAAGTGAGTAAAGGAAACTACTCCTAGAAGAAATAATATTCATATGTAAAAAAGTTGGAAGAACTTGCTTGAACTGGGTGGATTGTATAGCAATAAATGGTCAGAAGCTGTTAAAAATAAGAAATTAGAAGGTAGCAGAACGAAACCAAGAAAACTGGCAGCTCTGACTGAGGAAGGCCTTTACTCTTCATGTGTCATAGAGCCATCAAAAAAGGAAAAAAAGCTATGTTTTGAATCATTTTTACACCAGATGGGTGATTGATTAGCCCAGTGCTGCTGGTTCCAAGACCACAAGGCAACTAGCTCTCTCAGATCTCTAGGAGGAGGGTGAGGGTAAGGTGTAGAATAGGATAGGTTAAGGATAGTAATTGGTTTTGTAGGATAAGGTTAAGAAGATGATTTACACTTTATATAGGAGTAGGGTACTCCATGAACTTGTGTGGGCAGGGTCACTAGGTTCCTGGGAGTAGGTGTATCTTTCACTGGGATCGTGGAGAGTATCTACCCACTCCCCTACGGAAGTGGACTAAGGCCATTGTTCTGTACTAAAGGCAATAGGAGTAAGGGAAAGAAGAAGAAGCAACTACAAACAGATATTTATTGTAACCTTGTTATAAATCCGCTGATTTTTTTAAGCTGTGAGATTGTTTGTACTCTGCCCTTCCTTTAGAACTTACAATATACTTATCAAAAATTGTGTAAACATGCTTTAAATATGTGGTATTTGTAACTTTAATTTTTCAGAATTGTTGGCTTTATATTCTTTTTAATAATAAAGAAAAAAATCATAAAAAATATCAAATCCAAAAAATGGTTTCAAATCTGCAGCTCAAATTGCAGGAAAATAGAGTCTGCTCATGTTAAGTAAAGCAACAAATTAAAGAAGTAATTGTCATAAGTTAATTTTATACAAACGAATATTGATCATTGAATATACTAATATTCAAATCTGAAAAAAATCTGGTGCGATGTATCACACAACTGTTGCTTATCACACTGCTTCAGTAGAAAAACATTTTTTTTCACCATGAGAAAATTACTTTAATTATGAATAACAACAATTATAAATAATGAACAACAGTAAGACAATTAATATAAACTATGACAATCTTGTATGCAAAATATATTTCGTTTATCTACCTGAAGAAAAAAAAGTAGTTTTCCTATATATTGTGGGTTTATTGCTAAAGAATAATAAAATCTAAATTATTTAGTACTATGGTGAATTTTTCTTCTGTGAAATCAGAACATAGATTCAGTGAAATCAGAGCACTTAGTTTAACTATTTTTGACGTATAAAAGTGTTTTTGTCTTATTTTGATGTGATTACTAGGTTTTTGCAACTGTAAATTAGGTTGAATTTCATGAAAACATACTTAGAAGTTTAGCTCTACCAAGAATGCATTTAATTATTTTTTGTAATCAACCGGTAATATTTTCAATGGAAAGTACAATTTTTTTTTATGTTTGAATAGGCTACTCAAGCCTATTGTGTGCAATTTTCATATAGTTTTTATAGAAACATTTATTTTCCATTCAATAACATAAAAGTAGACATTATTAACTGCAATACTTAAAAGTTATTACATTTTTATCACTTTCCATTACCTTCTACAACCTTATATGTTAGACATCATTTTTCTAAAATCTTTAGCTTTCCAGCAGTATATCATGCATCTAAATTACTACTCTTATTTCCCGAAATTTGTTTTCAACCTACGCTAATATTTCTCTCATTTTATACTTTAGTTAATTGTAAAATTCTTTCATACATTATATTTGTTTCCCAGCTCAAACATTTTCTTAACTACTTCTGATATATATATATATATATATATATATATATATATATATATATATATATATTTAAATTTTACATGAATCTATATGTATATACATATTATCTTTTATATATTCATTAATTACTTTGTTAATAGGTCAGTCTTGCAATAAATTAGGCCAATATTCATGTCTTCGCTGCAAGACATGTTATTGTGAAGATCATATCAGAAGAAAAGGATTTAAGTATGATAAAAATAAGGCAATACCTTGTCCAAAATGTGGATATGAAACATCTTGTACAAAGGATTTGAGCATGTCAAGTGAGTTTTTTTTATTATAAATATTCATTTTTTATTTATCATGTTGACTGCTGGTACTACATTTCACACATTCTGTGAGAAGTAGACAGTTTACGTGATTTTATCTTTGAAGGACCTTTCATAGCCAAAGCCATATACTTTGGTTTATACGTTTATTTATTTTTTTAATTCCTGCCTATACAATTGTTAATACCTATTACAATAATACCCAATAAAAGCTAAGTTCTAAATCATATAAATTCGATAGAAACAGAATAATTCATTTTAAAGAGAAAAGCTAAAATTTGTTTTTAATAATTCAGAGTTTCTACTCTAATCCCAATGGGGAAGAGAGGGGGTTGTTTCTGAGTTAGGCATTCTATTTTAATCAGATGCGAATATTATTCTTTTACAAAAAAAATGGTCATTTTTTTTGCTTTGATTTTTATTGGGGGTTCGAAAATAATCAGACATGACCCTAAATGGTCTAGGTACACCACTGTATATATTTAATTTGTTAGCTGGTATCTTGATCAAAATAGTATTTATAAGAAAGAAAAAAAACCTATAAGAAACTAAAGAAAAAAATTATCGAAGTAATTGAAATTCACTACTATTAATTAGTAACATATTCATTAATAAGACTAATGTCAGCATAGTATTTGCCTGTATCTACAACCAGCCAATGGTCTATGTTTCCTGTGTTGATCCACTGTGAGGCCCTTTAAGTTCATGGCTTCCAATTTATTCTTCAGCTGAAGTTGAAATTAGGTTTTCATTTCAGGATTTTTCAAATTACGAACTTTGTACCTCTTTCTTTCCATTTGATCCTATAAAGTGTGGATTTACTTCAATCTTAGAAGAAGTTTAATTCTAATCAGAGTGTGATCCAAATCAAAATCTGCTCCAAGATAAGTTCTTATATCTTGAATGGATGGAGCTTTGATGTCTCTTATGTATCAGCACATCATCAATTTGTTTTTGTTTTTTCACCTTTGATGCTTACCCAGCTATACTTGTGGATGTCCTTCTGCTGGAACATTCTACTGCTGATGGCTAGATCCTTAGCTTGTGCCAGAGTGATACATCTCACTCCATGATGTATATATCACTCCGTGATATAATCTTACTCATGAGGAAAGTCATGATAAGGATACTGTAGGAGGATTTTGTCCTTAAGACTGTCATGGATATAAAATCTATCACCACCTCCCGTGCGATCAGATCGGTCGTGGCGTAGGAAAGAATAATTGGGTATGAAAACTGAGAGGAAGGGATAAAAGGTTTTAACCAGGTTCGGATACTGCTATTATGTGATAAAAATTGTCAAGGAAATGTTTCTTCAATTCATCATAGTGTGCAATAAGGGATTGTGCATTGATGTGACAGGAATTCAAGATATTAGTCATGACTGAACAGTTGAGAAGTAGAATTTTGGAAAAAATGATCGAGGATGAAGGATACTATATAACATTTCTTATACATAATATTAAGTTTAGAAATAACAAAAAATAAGATAAACATAAAATAAACTTTGAAATGAACAAAACAAATTTCCAGTATTATGAAATAAATATTCATTTAAGATTAATTTATAACCTAAGAAAATATAAATATCCCCTTGTTTTAGGTAAATTGTTAAAGATTGGCAAACAATCAAATAAACTTCTAAATAATTTATACAAGAATAAAAAAAGCTGAAAATTAAAATAAAAATATTTCAGATGAGAAAAAATGTATACAAAAATATAAAAATAAAAAAAGCTACATTTATACAAAAATAAAAAAAACCTGAAGATATAAAAAAATAAAATAAAAATATTTCTGGCAAAAAAATAAATAAATTGCATACAAATTCAGGGTAACTTATACACAGCGTTCAGCTGAAAACGTCCAGATCACTTGGTTTTTCTATAATGACTACTGGGTATCCATTCGATTGTCTGCAACAAATTTTACTCCACTAAACCAGACATATTTTATTTTTGCAGTCACCCTCTTCTGTTTGGCTAACCAATAAAGGTGTTTATTAACAGGCATCATAGCTTTACTCACATGGACACAGTGCATATTGTTCTCTCCCCAGCCTAGATGGTGTGTAGAGAAATCTCTCTTTGCTCTTCGCTGGAGCACCAGCTCATCTCTCACCAATTGTCTGACGAATCTTATTATAATTGGGCCTGGGGTCCCTTCTTGCTTGGGTTTTAGTCTCACGGCATGATCAAGTTTGTCCGTCCCATCTTGACGGCCAGACCAGCTCCGACGCTAAGAATAGTGCCAGTTACGGTTTCACCGGACTTCTCCGGAACTCCTCAAATTTCAATTGTATTTTCCAGTTCAAATTGTTCTCTGGAATTCAGACGACTTTCCAGTTCAGATATTTTTGTTTTCAACATGTTATTCTCAACTTTTTTTTTTTGTTTTTGTTTTTTGCTCCGACATAAGGGGTGCACTGCGGCCTCAAAACGGCCTATTGTGCGTCGTCCTAAAGTCAGTTAAAATAGACCAGATAACACTGCGAACCTATTGATACTTACAGGAACAATAATTTCACAGTGCTTAGGGTCAGTGATACGATCACATACAAAGTGAAAGTATCGCAGTCTAGCCAAATTATCACATCTACAAATAATGTGATAGGCTGTTTCATCCTCAAGGCCACGTAGCCTGCAGTTGGAGGCCTCACTTACACCCAAATTGAAAAGGTGCTTATTTAGTTAACAGTGACCGGTATACAGTCCTGTCACCCACCTAACGGTATTCCTGTCCATTAGAAGAAGTGAATTACTTCTCTTATGGCAGGGCCCTTCTAGGAATAACTTAGAATGGGTTTATTTCTGATCTGTTCCCAGTGTAGCATAAATTTATTGCCTACATTCGCCTTAATATGTCTATACGGATTCCGTATATATATCTTTTGGCAAAGCCAAGGCTTATCCCACCAATAGGATTTGCTGCAACCGGCATCTGTGCAGAGCCTTTCCTAGCAAGGTAATCGGCTTTCTCGTTTCCTGGGATGCCTGAGTGCCCAGGTACCCATTCTACTCTCACCTTGTTAGTACTATAAAGAAGGTTAAGATTGCATTCATCCACCAGCCTTGAGCGACTTGCATATCTATTCAGGGCCCCAATATCCGCTTGACTATCCATATATATTGTTATCAATCTATTCACAATGCCCTCCTTAATAAGTGATTGGACACAGAAATCGATCACTAAAATCTGGGCTTGAAAGACGGACGTATACCTAGCTAGAGATATGAATGTTCCCTCATTAGGTTTATCCTTACTCCAGATACCAGCCCCTGATCCCTGCTCCATTAAGGAACCATCAGTATAACAGTTAACTCCATTACATGGTCTATGTGAGTTATTCCTGCTTATGTTCAATTATATATTATATCCTTATAATTATCAACTTGAAGGTCAGAGTTCATCACAAGCACTTCATTGCTATTAATCCTATTAAAAACGATCCCATGGCTCTGAAGCGTCAGGAATTTCGATCTCGTTCCCAGTTTATCCAATCTATAGGCAGTTCTGAGAGCATGTGCTTCCACCTCCAAATGCAATGGTATCAGATTTAAAAGAACTTCCATTGCAGTAGTGGGAGTAGTGCTCATAGCTCTCGTCGTCATAAGCCTTTGAAGCTTGCCAAGCAGCATTCTAGGTCTGCCCGCAGCTGCCCTATGCCACCATACCACAGTTGCATAGAGGATTAAGGGTCTAATCGCAGTTCTGTATAGCCACAAGGCCATGCTAGGTTTCAGCCCCCACGATTTGCCAATAACTCTTCTGTATGCCCATAAACAGCCTATAGCCTTACCACTAATCTTTTCAATATGATTTAGGCAGTTTAACTTATTATCTATAGTAATCCCAAGGTGTTTTACTTCACTACATATATCTAGTATTGTCCCATTTAATGCTGGTGGTCTAATGTTAATATTTCTTCTATTAGTGAAGATACAGAGTGTAACTAACATGTTCGTGGTCCATTAGTAAATAACCTGTTTGGCGGCAACTGCGAATTGTCTATTTGGCGGCAATTGTAAATAACATTTTAATGGTTAATTGTGAACAACCTTTTGTTTGGCAGCAATTGCGAATAGCCTTCCCCTTTGTCGGGAGACTAGGTTATTTACACTCGTGAATTTGATTTTCTTAAAACAAAACCTTGGCACTGGATATAGACTTTTTGAGGGTGTTTAACTGTCATTAGGAATTCGGGAAACTAATAATGAATAATTTCATGATTCTGATAATTATGAGACTTTTCAATGAATAATTTGTTGACTGCACAATTGAGTGCAATTCATAGTGCAACCTCATATTCCTATATATTCCTTCTCATTCCCTCACACAATGTCATATAAAGGAGTAAATACTGGAAGATACCTACTACATATCCTACCGTTTAACTTTTAAATTTTGTGTTTGAGTGAGAACAACAAAATTTAAGAAAAATGACCGTGATGAAATGAACTTTTTGTGTGTAATGGAAATTTAAAATTATAATGTGCATACTTAAAATCATTCCTAAATGCACTAATGCATCAGCAAAAAAAAGAAAATATATTTAAATGAATATACCAAATACACAACATATAAAAATATACAATACATACAAAATTATGATATATTCAAAATACACGATATATACAAAATACGCGGTTTTATGTGTAAAAGAAAATTTACTGGATAGTTTAAGATAAACATCTAGACCCCATTATCACTAGTTAAACGCGAATATAACCTTTAAAAAAAAATGTTTTAAGTGGACAATGGGAATAAATTTACGGATAATTTATATTATTTATTATTAAACCAGTTTCTTTATTACTATTATTTATTTTATTTATTGATTTTTTATTTTGTATCCATAAGACAAGCTTTTGTTTGTAACCACGAATTTCCAAAAATATTATTTTATCATTCTCCTAACCTGGGTCTATAGCACCAAGTTTTTGTTTTATCCGGTAAGGTCCCTTATCAGCTTTAATTTCTTAATCTCTTCATCCTTTTTTGTATTTTCTTCTCTGTGCACCAGAAAACTTGGGTTTTGGTGGGACACCAGTTCTACCAACCGTACTCTTAGCCTCCTCTGTTATTCCAGAGAGCTTGGAAACCTCGGTCGAGCTTCTTGAATTTTCTTCACAAGGGTCCATCGATGGCCCCTCCGAGTATCTCTCAGCCACTCCCTTTTCTAACAGTTCCATTTCCGTTAGTAGTTCTGTGTCCACTTCTGAGTCATTACCTTTGATATCCGTCTGGGTTTGTTTGTTTAGTGGTTCATTCATTTTAGTTCCCACGAATATGGGGGTGGTTAAAAGGTCACTACAGGTAATAGCCCCTCTCCCTGCAAAAGACTAATTTTAATGGGGTGTGCCAGGTTTCCCAAGAGGGTCGAATTGACAGTGTATTTTTATTTAAGGCACTCAACCATGGATCAAGCGGCCCTTCCTAGCTTGGGTGTCATAGAAGGATCCACTCAACTGTCCTCCAAATACAGGGTAGAAGTGTGGATCCCCGTTTTTGTCGTTCGCGAGTCCCATCGGACTCCCTGGGGGGCACCACGAGAAGGTGACAGTAGGTGTTGATAGGGATAGAGAGGACTGGGAAGTCACAAGCAGTGGGTAGGGCCCTATTGCTTGATCATTCCGCAAGGAGTGGGAGAGATTCCTGCACCCATCTTCTTCTCCAGCCCTCCTGTTACCCTACCCATATGCCCCCCAATTTTCCATAGTTAATTTTTCAGTATGGGTTTTTGGCTTTTCCAGGAGTGTTTCAATTTTTAATAACCAGTCCATATTCTCGATAGATGGTTCTGATTACTTCTGGAGGGTTTATCTTTTATTTCCTTTTGTTCGTCTAAACTCTGAAGTTATAGGTTATATGTATGCATAATATTCGACTCAATTAAAGTAATCAAATCTATATTCTGAATATGTATGTATAATAATAATATAATTTTATTTTTTATTATTTTTTTTCTAAATTTTATTTTTAATTTGTTTAAAATTTAGTACGCACGCATAAATATGGAAGACAAGGAAAATCGAGTGATGAATATGATGACAGTTCCAATACAACAAATGGTAAGATTTAAATTATGATATTTCTATATATTGTATAAATTTTTAGTAATTTTGTTTTATATAGCTGTTAGCATGGTTTTTAGTGAGCTCAATTCATTTTAACTACAGGAAAGCTGGAAGCTAATTTAATCCATTTAGTTTGATCTAAAATAAGAATACTAAGTTTTCCCCCTCCTGATAAATGAGCTTTATCCTTTGCATAAAAATTTATATTTGCAAAACACTTTTTTTATGCAATTAACATAATAATATCTCAGAAGCAATCGATGCTATCGAAAACAAATATTGTCCACAACAATGTTGTATAGAGTGCAATCCACTTCCTTGCTTTAAATAGTAATATCTACCATATACAAAAAGAAAAAGTTGGAGCCAATCACAACACCTTCCTTAACTAGCTGTCTTAGGTGGCAGTCGCAACAGTAAATCAAATATATTAAGTATGCTCTCTGATTAATAAAAACATGACATGACTTGTAAACCTACATACTGGTAGAAATGAAATAACAGTTCTATATTAGGTTTTTCTGAGAACATCTTTCAGATATCTGAGTCTCAATTGATGAACTAGGGTGTTCAGGTGGGTACAGAGTTTATAATGGAGTGATAGGTATTTACTTTGTGATAATTCAGTTATATATGGGTACCAAGGTCAGAATAATTAGATCTACAACAAGGCGCATTAAGGATTTTTGGAGTTAAAAATAGTATACAGGAATATAGTATAAAGGAAAAGTTTGATGGTTAATATTAATGCTCAACTCCCTTTATTTAAATATACCTGATTATTGTAATTTAAACAATCCTTAGTTAATTAGAAGTTTAGGATGTTTGGTAAATATTGAAATAGTCATAAACTGCGAGCATTTTTTTTATTGTTTGTCTTGGTTTAAGATTTTAAACTAGATGCTTGTCCAAATAAAGTCCTGGATAGCAGATATATTCAAAAGGATTAATAATAATAATAAAAGGCTTAGCAAATCTGAAGGTTTGATGCCAACACCACCAATTGCTTATTACACACCTCCCTCCAGCGTTCGCCGCCCAAACCCAGTCCCTTAAGATCGGCTTTAACGCAATCTTCCCACCTTTGCTTCAGTCTTCCCCTCGGACATTTACCATTTGGTACAGCAAATATTAACCTTTTAGGAATTCTTTTGTTACTAAGCCCAACAATTTGACAAGCCCATTTGATTCACCGCAATGTAATCACTTCAATTATATTAAACGGATACAGTTCACACAATTCGGCATTGTGTAACCATCTGAACTCTCAGGTAAAATCATCCTTATTCGGTCCGAATATTCTATGCAATACTTTATTTTCAAAAACCTTAAGACGTTGCTCATTTCTTTATTTAAGCGGCCACGTTTCACATCCATAAAGAACTGTAGGTAAGATAATGGTTTTATAGATTCTAGTTGTTAGGTTCCGGGACATCAGGCACCAGCTAAGTAGTCTTGTCACAGAAAAATAACAAGTATTTCCCGTCTTCAGCCTAACCTTAATATCCTCTTCAATTTCATTTTTGAAGGAGCACTAGCAGTAATGCCATTTTTGCAACTAACCATATATTTTGTCTTATCCGTGTTTATTTTGAGCCCTAGTTCTTTATCGGCTTTCATTAGCATTGTCATATTTAGTTTTATAGTTTCCATGTCTTCGCTTAACAGGACCAGATCATCCGCATAGCGAAGCATGGGTGTTATCCCCCCCAGATCCAACCTTTTTTTGGTACGCATTACCTCCCTAATGGCATGTTCTAATGCCAAATTGAACAGGGCAGGCGAAAGGGAATCACCCTGTTATAAACCTGAACTTATCTCAAACTTTTCGGATAAATTATTACCTATTCTAACTTTATTGAGTGTTTCCGTCAAGCACATCCAGACTAAATTTACTAATTTTTTTGGAATCCCCTGTTCGATTAGAATATTATTCAGTTTCTGGTAGTCAACAGAATCGTAAGCCTTTTTGAAATGAATATACAACCGATGAACAACACTGTTGTACTCTAATTTTTTGTCCAATATTTGCTGTAAGGAAAATATTTGATCAATAGTCGAACGGTTCCATCTAAATCCGAATCGGTAGTCTCTGATAATTTCCTCGCCATATTCCGTGATTTGACTAGTTAAGAGTAAGGTGAATATTTTATAACATACCGAAAGGGGTGAAATTCCTTGATAGTTATCCATCCTCTCGCCCTTTTTGTGAATTGGAATAAGAATAGATTCTTTCCATTCTTCAAGTAATTTCTCATTCTCCCAGATCTTTTTAACGAACAAATGCATTTTAGAAACACAAGCTTCCCTGCATGCCTTAACTAGTTCACTAGGAATATTATCGGTCCCCGCTGCTTTGTAAGATTTTAATTTTCCTATAGCTACTTCAACTTCCTTTTTACTCGGTTCTTCTATTAACGGTCCAGCACTCTGGTTCTCAGGAGGACACATATCATAATTTCCCGTATTTAAAATATTGTCAAAGTGGTTCTTAAAGTTATTTACTATGTCTACCGGATAGGTCAGAATATTGTTATTTTCATCCCTAATTCCAGATGTGACGGATGATGATGAACATGATCTATTTATAACTTTGTACATGTCTCTTATGTAATTTTCAATTCTATTAGTTTCTATTTCTATTATTTTGTTTTTAAGATACTCCCTTTTTTTATTTTTGGGCAATTTCTTCGTTTCATTCTTTGAGGTTCTGAAGTACTCCAGATTGTCTTTGCTAGGATTATTTAGAGCTTTTAATTCAGCGGCTTTTCTTTTTTCCCACATGTTTAAGCAATCTTTATCAAACCACGGTTTGTTATTTTTATTTACCCTTTTTCCTAGACATGAGTTACCGACTGCTTAAGTATTATTCCTGATCTCTACCCATAACTTATCAATATCCTCGCGGTCCTCGTCAGAAGGTTCTAAAGCTTCAAACCTATTCTTAACATCTAGCTCGAATTGAATTCTAATTGATGGATTTTTTAATTTATCCAAATTTAAATTCTCTAAAACAAAACAGTTTTCTTTTCTCTTTTTTATATTAAGTTTTTGTCAGAGTTTTAGATTACTAATTCATGATCCAATCCACATTCTGGTCCGTGATAAGACCGTACATTAATTATACTGCTTTGCCAGTTATGTTGTATCAAGACATGATCGATTTGATTTCGCGTTTGGAGGAAAAAGGGATTAGTAAAATATTATTATTAATAATTGGTAATTGGTTGACTGTCGTGGATAATGAAGAGAAGAATAGTTGGGGTGCTCAGTCAAAAAGGAAGGCAAAAAATAAATTATAATATTTATTTTTTACATATGCCGACGTTTCGACCTGAAGTTCAGGCCTTCATCAGGGCTAAGAAAATAACCAGATAACAAGGTATGAGAAACATAAGTAATGATGGTAAAAAATATAATAAAAAATGAGAAAATAAAATAAAATAAAAAAAATTATTAGAAAAATAAAATAGATAGATATAAAGTAAAATGAAATTGTTAGAATAATGAGTAAGAACTAAGAGATAAATAATAAAAACTGTTACATAGTGTGGAATGATGAAGTAGGCATAATCAAAAAGGGGTGACAAAAGTGTTACATTGGGAATCTTAGAATAAAATGTAAAAACATAAAAAAGAAATATAAAGTTATATAAGAAATGAAAATAAAATAAATAGTAAAATTAAAACATTGAGAATGGAGTAGTTAGATAGAAAATTGAGATATTGTAAAGTCTATCAAGATGTACAGACAATGTATAATATAATAAAGAGTTAAAAACAGAGAAAAGGAATGAATGGAAGGAGGGAAGAAATTGAGAAAGCTGAAATAAGAAAGAAATAAAAGAAGTACTACCTTTCTCCTTAAGTGTCAAGGGGAGAATAAAAGTCGTTACAAGGGAGGGGGAGAGAGAAGAGATGTGAAGGTGGCGTCATCTCTAACGGTTATCAGACGAAGTTTGAACTAAAAGCGCTGGAAGCCTAAATAGGTACGAGAGATATATTATTTAGAAAAATTATGGAAAATTGAACGAAAGTTAATAGAAAATGAAAGAAAAATTCAAAAGAAAAATAACTATTGAGTAATAAGGGAGAAAAATTGAAATAAAAATATATCATATATACATATATATATACACACACATACATACATATACATACACGTATATATATATATATATATATATATACATATACATACAAACCTATATATATATACATACATATACATATATATATATATATATATATATATATTTTTTTTTTTTTTTTTTTTTTTTTTTTTTTTTTCTCTGCTGTAGTAACCCTACAGAAGAGGCGTATATTTTTTAGAAGTGTGCATACACCATGCAAAAGCATATTATATGCATTACAGTGTTATTTAGTATATAACTATAAATATAACTTATTACAATATGTGTTGGCTAAAGATATTTAAAAAGAATGGTACTTAATTTGTATTACAAGGAGAATATTTATAGATGTTTAAATAAAATAAATAACAATAAACGATTAAATAAAGTAAATAACAGTATCAGATGAATGAACAGTACCAGAATATACTAAGACAAAATACTCTAAAACAGAGGCAGAATCAAATACAAAAATTATGCGGAGAATAAACAAATGTTACAAATTTACAATTGAGTATCAACAAAATAAAGAGTAAAAGACATAAGTCTAACTTTAGAAGTATATTAAATAAAAGAGCTATGCTGGAATCTCTTATAATTTTATGCTATTAATGAATTCCTTCAACTCCTTCTTGTATTTTTTGTATAGTATGGGTTCGGGAAGAGGCCATGTGTCTCCTTGCGTCAAAGAAGATTTCAGGAAGTTGGCTCTTTTGTGTTCGTATAACTGGCAGTCGTTTAAAATGTGTATGAAAGTTTGTGGAGTCAGTCCGTCACAATTGCATGCGTCTATCGCTTTTAAGTGGAATCTGTTTAGATATTGGTTAGTCGGGCCGTGTTACGTAAGGAATTGGGTTAGTTTATAATGGGTGCTTTTGGTTGTGTTGCAGTTTTGTAGGGTGATGTTTGGAATGTATTTATGTAATGGTCGTCCTTTGGTAGATTGTTGCCAATGTCTGTTCCACTCTTCTCTTATTATATGTATATATATAATGGAGTTGTCAGCAAAAAGGAAAGGAATATAACTATGGATGTTTTAATAAATTCAGAATTTGGGAATAGGCTAAAGAAAAGTTCTGTTTGTCAGATTTAAGATTCACTGTCTTTGGTTGAAGCTGGATGTGGAGGGTTTCAGAAATGAGTCGTTTGTCATGGTTGAGAACTGTGGCAAGGATGGATGTTTTGTCAAAATCAAATGAATGATTGTGGGAGAGGGAATGTTCGGATAATTTGGAAGCGGTAAAATTACGAGAGGATACAGAATATTTATGTTGGGTTACGCGGTCTTTTAGGAGGTTTTTGGTTTCACCAATATAGGATGAAAAACAATTGGGGGTAGAACATGGAATACGGTAAATGATATGAGAGCGGTGTGAGAGAGGAACCAGATCTTTTAGGGATGTGTATAGTTTTGAGAGAGTGTTGTGAGATTTGAATGCAAGTCGTAAGTTAGGGTTAGTAGATCGTAAAACTTTGTTGATGTTGTCTGAAAGGTTAGGAATATAAGGTAGAGATCTGTATATAGGGGCTGAAATGGGTTGTGGAGAATTAGTGGAAGTTGAGATTAAGGAAGAGCGATTATTGTGGTCTGTTATAAGTTTGTTAATGACATGGAGAGGAAAATTATTGTTTGACAGGATCTGTTTTATGCGTTTGGTATTGGTAACATGAAATTGGGGATCAGAGAGGGAGAGACTACGGTGGATGAGATTTTTTGCAACGTTAATTTTTTGGTGGTAGGGATGTTTAGAATGGAAATTTAGGAGATCTTTATTATGTCATTTCTAGAGTTAGCCATTTAAATGAGAAAATGAAAGAAGGCGAATGAGTTATTTTTCACTGATAGGAGACATGTGTCATTAGTATACAACAAAGCTAGGGTATGGGTTGGCCATAGATGCTTCCAGTAAAGTAGGCCAAGTAAATTTTTGTCATGAAAAAACTATTCAGATCCTTTTTAGGATTCACTAAAACTCTTAAATACAAACTGGTTTTGAAATAAGAAAATATAAATTTTTGGACTTCATTTTACAGGAAGATTTATTTTCATGCCGTTTAAAATATTCATAACTCCTCAGATTTTTCTCCTAAGTCAACATTACTAAAACCGTTGGAAAGCTAAATTATTGCCTTTCAAAACTGTATCAATAACTTTGATATTTCATCCTTTTCTGAGGAATAAATAATTAAAATTTCCTAAACATTTTTATTTTTTATCTCTAAGCCCAATTTATATGCGGGATTCTGGTTTCTGCCATTTTGTGTATATTATAGGCCTCCAAATTCATGCTAATTTTAATGTAGATAAGGCAGAAATTTTGTGGGAAAAATTTTTTATTTTTCGATTAGTATGACAATTCATATTTAAGGGTTTTTTTTTGAGGTGCGAAATACAAATCTCAACTTTGTTTCTCCTTAAAAAAATATTTAAACCCACTTAACTCAGATAACAGTCAATAAATTTCTTCTTAACCTCCTTATTAATGTTGTTAGCAATTATATTAATGTTGTTAGCAACTATAAAGTTCTCCATTCTCCCTTTGTGTATCTTCCAATCTTTATCCAGAGAGAACTCCCATAAGGTCCCTAATATTGAGGTTAGATTCTCACAAACTTTGTTTTTATTATTTGGCATTGCAAAGGTTTTTACAAAAAAAAAAAAAAACACTTGAGATATAATATTAAATAGAAAATTCTTAGTTGTTACTTGAGGCTAAGATTCCTCAGCCTGATAATGGGTTTCGATTAGCTTTAGGAGAGATAATTGAGGTTTTCTTTATTCAGCTACAGATCAAATGTTTTTCATGATCCTCACCACCACAATCTGTACTATCTTAGGTCTCATACAATTACTTTATTGATTAGCTTTATTTGAAGTTTTGTTTAAACATGAATTGTAAAGTACGGTTATCAGCTGAGGCCACGACTGGAGGCCTTATTTATAACATCTGTACATTACATACATAACACCTGTAGAGATATTTATATGAAACATTCAACATTTATTACAGAAATGATCTGTAATAAAACATTTTTTCCTAATTGATCAGGTTTATTTGAAGTTTTGTTTATTAAACATGAAATATAGAGTACGTTCAGCAGCTGAAGCCATCTTGAAAATTTATTAGGTCCTGAATGAACACTAGTAAAAAAAAAAGATTAAGATTAAAAAATCAATGGTAAAAAATAGTCATTCCGAAAAATTTCAGCCCGAAAGCCTCTCTCCTCCCCCCCTTCCCCTCCGTAGATCCCATAGATCTGCTAATTTGGGTTGTTGGGAGGGAGAAGGATCCCAGAGTGCCTGGTTCCAAACATTGTTGGTTTGATTGCGCCCTGAATCAGAGTTAATATTTATTTCTTGGCAGCCTTGAGACTCACTAAGGGTTGTTGGGAGGGAGAAGGATCCCAGAGTGCCTGGTTCCAAACATTGTTGGTTTGATTGCGCCCTGAATCACAGTTAATATTTATTTCTTGACAGCCTTGAGACTCACTAAGGTTAGTATGTAGGGCAACCTCTAGTTAGCCGTCAGAGTTCAGCAGAAACCAGTAACAGTACCATTAGCCTACTTCCAATCCTTTCAAAAATCCTTGAAAAGATCTTCCTGAAACGAATCCTACCCTTTATAGAATCTCAAAATCTTCCTTCACATCAATTCAGATTCCGTTCGCAACACTCCACAGTCCAACAAGTACTTCGAGTGGTCGATCATATTTCCGCAGCTCTGGAAAGCAAGCAATATTGCTCGGGTGTATTTCTGGACATCGCTCAAGATTTTGACTGGGTATGGCACGCTGGGGTTCTTTTCAAACTTAAAACCCATCTATCTCAGTCTTTATACCTTGTCCTCCACTCCTACCTCTCTGATCACACCTTCCGAGTTTACTGCGACACCGAATTTTCCAATTGAAGCTGGTGTTCCTCAAGGTAGCGTTTTGGGTGCCGTCCTTTACATCTTCTTTACTGCCGATATCCCTGTCCATCCCGATACCTTCGTGGCAACATTTGTTGGTGACACCGCCATTCTATCATCCGACTCAGATCCTGATATAGCATCCTTAAACCTTCAAAGACACCTCTCTCTGATTGAGTACTGGTGTAATAAATGGCGTATTAAAGTAAATGAATCCAAATCATAACATCTTACCTTCATACTCTGACGTAATTCCTGTCCACCAGTACACTTTATTTCCATTTAACTTCCTTTCTCAGACACAGTCTGGTATTTTGGCTTTCTCTTAGACAGACGACTAATGTGGAACCCTCATACTAGACTTAAAAGACAGAAACTTAACCGACGATACGGCCAAGTATACAGACTACTAAATGGAAAATCTAAACTTTCTATTGAAAACAAAATATTTACCTACAAGACAATACTGAAACCTATTTGGACTTACAGACTTGAACTGTGGGGAACAGCAAAATTTTCTAACATCAAACTCATCCAATCCTTCCAGTCCAAAGTCCTTCGAACAATAGTCGATGCTCCTTTCTATGTAACCAAAAAAACCCTACACCATGACCTTAATATCCCATTTGTCCTAGACCTCATCCCAGAAAAATTCTCCAAATTTCACCAGAACCTTAACTATCATCCGAATCCCCTTGCACAATCCCTATCTAGCACCACCCATCCCTATAATCCTCCAAGAAGGTTAAAACGGCAGTGGCCCTGCAAACGTTTATAGTTTGTAAATATTGGAGTTCTGGCAATGACCAGATTCTCCACTCATGACATTAGTGTATGTGGCTAAAGCGCTCTCACTCAATCTCCACTGGGTTTAGCCCCAGTGACATGGTTGAGAGAATAGTGCAGGGATCTCCTGGAATCATATGAATTTTATGATCCTGTTATAAAGGATTATAAATACCCTTTGAAACAGATTGTAATATTTCTCAAAAAGCAAGTTTAAAAAAAAATTATTATTTTAATTTGTTTTTAAAAATAATATTTTGAAATATTGATGTTCTCTGTTATTTATTATTATTTTTTTATATGAAGAGTTAAATAATTTTTCATTGGTTAAGGTTATATGCATATATTTACTACATTAAATTTATCCTTACCATTTGCTCATTGCATAGTATATCACTTATATCAGTATAAGTTATATCAGATTGAATTGCTTTTGGTGATGGATTATGATTTATTAGTTGTTTTAAACTATATCTTTCAGCGAATCTTGGAAGATATAATTCTATTTTAGAATGTTTCTGATAAATTAAAGAATTGTTTAGAATAGTTGACAAACTGCTGGTTCCAATAATTAATTTCATTAATATTGTTATTTTTTTAAAGATGATTCGTCATATTATGGAGGAAACAATGAAGATCATTATATTGAAGAGGAAGATGAAGAATACTATGAATCAGAAGACCAAGAAGATACCAGTGATTGATTAGAAGCTGATGAACTGATTTTATGATTAAATGTATTTTCATACAAAATAAAATTTCAAGAAATGTATCTTTTGTTTATGTTAGAATTTAGTTACTCATTCTGGGAAGAATGATTATATAAAATTATTGGACTTGGTAAAGAATGAATCACTAATAAGGTAATGATTATTGCACCAAGAGACAACAATGTAGGTGAGAGGCTTATGTTATATCAGATTTTGTGGGTTAATGTTTTGATGGGGTTTTGGGGAAATAATAATCTACAAAACTATTGTTGGTATTATTGTCTTTGAATGTCTGGATTAGGTTAGCTTGATAATTTTCATAAATATTGTGAGTTAAAAGAACTATAAAACTTTTGGGAACTAGCTAAACTTTTAAAAAGATTTAACTGAAGTCCAACATACTAAGTTAAATCTGAAGACTTTTATTTAATTTATTTATTGAAAATATGAATATTTGAAAACAATATAAAAATTAGCCAATAAATAAGTAAATAAATGGTAGTGGATAATGTCAACCAAAAGTATTTAAAATGATTTTATCTTAGGTAAGCAATTTTCAAATTATGCTCAGAAAGTTAAAAATATAAAAAATGAAAAAAAAAATCAAAGATAAGATTATTAATTCAAGGGCAAGAGTATTTAGTCTAATATTTTGAACTGGTTGGGTTCAAATGGAAGAAAATAAATAATAAACAATTTTTTTATGGAGAGATATGACATTGTAAGCTATCTTTTTTTTAACCATATTTATTAATCTTTCACAATTAAGAACATTTATAATAATGTTCAGAGGGCACATTCACACTATCAACGATAAATAAAAATTAAGCTATCTAAAAACATTAATCATAAATCTTAAAAATTTTACCAGGTGTTGTATAGTGGGCTGAAATGGTGAAAACATGATCAAAATTATTTCATCACACATTTAAAACTTAATACCATTGAAATAGCATTTTATTTTATAAGTCATTATAAGTAATTTTTCGAAAAAAAAGTTTTCCTTATCTACTCATTTCTTAAAAGCTTTGCCTAAAAATATAATTGTTAACAAGTTTATCTTTTTAGAACCATTCTAATCAGGCTGTCAATTTTTGGAACCTTATATAAAAAAATGAGGGTTCAATACAGAAAAAATAGTGAAATTCATTGGTAAAAATCATTTTTTATTTTTAAAATGTAATAAAAACTTGTGTACTGTTAACAGCCATTAAAAGAGGGAAGATGGCCAGAAGGTGGTGAAACCATTATCGACGGCCATATGCTATTCTATTCCCGGAGAAACTATAAAAATCCAACAGCTGGCAAAGAATTTATAGTTTGTCTAGTGGCTAGAAAATCAATCATAAACTTCAATCCAATTAATGAGTTAAAGATTATTGGTTAAATATTAGGATAATTTACATGTATGCACCAAAGGAAGATAAAGATGAAGAGGTGAACAATGATTTGTACGATCAGTTGGAAAATATTCTGTACCAAGCTCATAGACATGACATAAAGTTAGTCATAGGTGACTTCATTGCAAAAGTGACCTCAATGCACGCCCATTATCAGTGGCCAAAGCCATCACAAAGACAGCAATGGCAATGGGGTGTGTTGTATCAGTATGGCGACAACTAGATGTTTAGTCGTCAATAGTACAATGTTCCGACATAAGAACATCCACAAGTACACTTGAGTAAGCCCCAAAGGAGTGAAAAAATAAAGTGACCCTGTGCTGATAGACGAGAGACATCAGAGCTCAATAGAAGTTGTAATTAGCAATCATGGAGCAGACTGTGATTCGGATTAATTAAACTCTGATTAGAATTAAACGAATATCCAAAACAGGACATCGAGTGGAAAGAAAGAGATACCAAATCCCTAATTTGAAAAATCCTAAAGTAAAAACCACAAATTCTAACTTGAGCTGAAGAATAAATTCGAACCCTTGGACTCAGAGGGCTTCACAGTGAACCAACACTGGTAGGAAATAGAGAAAGGAAAAGACACAGCATAGAAGGTGATAGGTAGTCAGGGGAAATGAAAAACTAAGATGTCGTTCACAGAAGCATGGGAAAAGGCAGTAGAGGAGATAAGAAAAATGAAAGTACTCTGCCTAGCCATAAATGATGGAGTTACTCTGGACAAATGTACAGTCGCCAAGAAAAAGGCAAACAAAATTATAAGATCAGCAAAAAGGAATTCTTCAAAGAAAGATTGCAAACCATTGAAGACAACTGGCAGGCTAGAGATCCATGCGAATTCTATGCAGACATTAGGAAAAAAAGGGTAGGATTTAAAGCGAGAAATACGCAAATGCAAGGAAAGATTTTTTATTGATAAATATTACATTCTCAATTAAGGAAAAGGAAATAAAAGGAACAAACCATCAGGGATACCCTCAAGATCGATGGCCCATGAACTCTTCCCTCAAGACATTTTATTGCTCCCCTCTTTTTGAAAACATTTCAAGTGAAATTAGAATCAGAAAAAATGTAGATCAAATACAAATATACTTGCGGTGGTCTGGTTTTTCTGTTGTGCCCTAGATTGAAACTTTTCACCCCGAAAAATCATAACGCCGTCGAAATCATAACCCCCTTCACAAATTCAAAACCCCGTAAAAATACGCCCTCATTAAAAATTTTGATTGCGCAACTTAGGCTATGAAATCCCTTTCTGGGCATCACTCCAGACCGTGTTTCAATGAAGATTGTTTAAACATTTACAAAAAATAAAAGCCGCTGAATCAAAAGCTCTGAATAATTCAAGCGAAAATAACCTCGACTTAAGGATGAAGTCACGAATGAAGAATAAGGTTAGTTTTTCGAGTCTTAAAGAATGAAAGGACTTGAATTGCTCTAAAATAATTAAAGAAGTTATATTAAAAATAAAATAATATAAATAGAAATTAATAGAGCCGGTAATAATTTAAGATCATTGCTGGTATTAGATCTTTGGTGCCCCGAGCAATGACGTTATCTCCCTCCACCCAAAAAAAAAATTAATTTTTTAAACTATTTTATTTTAAATTTCATTACATTCAATATGTCTCTAATTCAGTTGCTATATGAGGCATGTACAAAGCTATTAACAGATCGCATAAATGTTTGCTGCCAGTAACGACTGGAATATTTTTTTTATTTTAACATTCATTTTTTAAAACCGCACCTGTCACAGCCTGCAACAATAAGCAGATGTGATTTATTGATAAAATTAGCATGTCTGGCCTGAGGGAGGTCGTTAACCATCAGCACCTACTCCTAACTTGAAATAAAAAAAGTTAATCCAGGATACCTCTTAACTAGCTCCTTTTCAGCCTTCGTCGGGAGTTTTCTGGCATATGTTTTGTGGCCATGTTCTGCATAAATTTATTGGTGTGTCCGAGAAGTTTGATATGAATTTTTTTTATGATGTCCGAATGTGATCTGGTACCATCGGTATTTGTAAGACTGTATGTAATGTTTTGTTACATGCCTATCAGGGTCTTTTCTTTTTTTTTTTCTCCCTGCCTTGCTTTATAGGCAATACGGGTTGTAGACATAGTATGCGTATGCCACTGCTGGCAGTATAGGTCTATATAATTATAATTTTGCTAACATTATTATTTATGATGTGCAGACTTGTTTGTGTGCACAAGCCCACACTTTTCTTTTTCTCCATTCTTCCACCTGAAGCCGGTCCTCGAAGCAGCTGCAGCTTATCTTAACTTCCTTCTCTTCTTCTCAGATTAAAATGTGTAAGACCTAAAACATCTTTCCACTAGTATACGAATTCCCTATAGTGTGGGTAATTCTCTCTGCCCATTAATTGCTGCTGGAGGAACATGCTCTCTGTCAGTGTATATATCCCCATCTCTCTCAGGAGCTTAGCTCTTAGTGCCTCATAGGCAGTACATTCAACGACCACATGTTCGACAGTCTCCAGAACGTTGCAGTTGGGGCATAGCGGATCAATATTCTTTTAGTGTTTAACGAGCTTCGCTCGGAAGCCCCCGTGTCCCGTAAGGAGTTGGGACACAATCCGATTTTTCTCACTTCCTAAAGGTATAGTAGTCTATAACTCATAATATAGAAGCTATATCTGTATATTTTTTCATTTATTTATTTCTATATTATCCTAAGTGTCCAAGCGACTATCCTCCTCCATTTACGTATTCAATAGACTTTTATTTCATCGAATACAACCATAAGTAGCAATATTTTAATTTTTAAAACATAATAATTTGATAAGTATCACATGTTAGCATGCCGACCATAGCACGAACATTAGGGTCCTTTCGACAAGAATTACAGAAATTTCTCGACTTTTAATGTAGTTAAGTGGAGCTGGATGAGAGATCTCCTCACCTAAATTAAAGTAATGACCAGGAAGAGGTGCTGCTGGGTACTATCCTCATGCCTGTAATGCCAACCTCGTCATGGCAACACATTTGCTGATTGGCATTACCATGACAGGTGCGGATAAACAGTTAAGGATAAAAAAAAAATGTAGTTGTGTTAAAGTTCAATGTTTATAAATTAGAATTCAACACTTCACTATTATTTCATTTCGTTTGAAACCTCATTCATCGAAAAATTGTACATCTCCCCGAAATTCGTAAAAGTATGCTATTGTACTATATATATCAACTGTTTATTAATAAAAATGTTTAAAGATTCTCTCATTTCTCCACCTTCGATTATGGCTGCCTTGTATACGGTGGACTGTATGTTGTACTTGAGCTAAGATTGAAGAGACTCATGAATTGTAATCCGGGAGGACCCATCTTGCATCTAATCGTGACTTGACAGTGAGGAAGTACTTTCTTAGGGTAGCTCTCTTCGGAGTTGCTATCCATCGCCGGTTCCATTGATCAACTGTGTCCTCCCTGATAATTATTTTCCATCTTCTTGGGTCTTCTTCGATTCTCATCTTTAGATGTTCCGAACCTTCTCTTTTCATTTTAAAGAGGTAAGTCTTCTCGTAGGAGAAGATCGAGATGTGTTCCCCTGCCAGTACTTGCACTGCCTCATGAGATATCGTTCTATAGGCTCTAGTAACCCGAAGTAAAGCCAATCTCTGAATTGATGCTAGC